GGGGGGGGCGGGCAGCGGGAGAGCTTTGATGGCTTGGTTGGTCGGTCTTCCCCCGCTGCAATGAAAAACTGACGAATAATCGAAGAGAAACGTTGAGTTTATCGTTGGTGGCCCGTCACGGCTGCAATTGAGGGCAACGTCGGATTAATCGTTGGTTGATGGCCGGAACGAACAAATTACACGCTCGATTCCAGGTATGACCAGGAAGTCGGCTACTTGGAATAGAACGGGGGCGAAAGGAGAGAGGAAGGGTGATGGAGGAGGTTTTTACGTTTTTAATGAAGGATGTGATGTGGGGAATTGTGGGGGAATGTGTGGTGTGTGTGGGGTGACGGTGGGGGTGGGGGTGGGGGTGGGAAGTGCTACGGGTGGATGATAGAAAAATTTCTGGGGTTCATGGCGTGGCCGATGTCGGGCTGAGCCAGGAGGCGATGAGCGATGAGCATGAGCATTACGTCGGGAAGGAGGGCACAAGAAGGAGGGAACGGGGTGAAAGAGGGTGGTGATGGAATGATAGCTGGGCATGATGGGATGGGTTGAGTGGAGAGGGATGAGAGTAGCTGGGGAAAAAACCAGATAGCGGAGTGGCGTTAGGCTTGTCGTGGACTAACGGGTGTACAGACGTGGAATGGAGGAGAAAGGCATGACTCTAGTACGCTCGAAATAATCCAGAGATGGAGGTGAGGTGCAAGAAGGCTTGGATGTGGTTGCTTTGATGGTTGCCGACAAGCCTATGAAACGCCGAAGAAAGGCTGCAGAGGTGATTTTTCTTGCGCCGCCCGCCCGCCACCTCAGCCATCTAACCATCCCTCCCCCCCCCCCCCCCCCCCCCCACGCACACACACCACCACTACCACTACCATTTCCCCCGTTACCCTATTCCCAACCCCTCACCTCCCCGTACATCCGCATTGCACCGAGTCTGAACCTCCGATTCCGGCGATCTAAAACCCCGCTACCGGCCACCGTCGCCTGATCGCCCTCAGCTGGCACCACTTCACCCGACGACGACTGCCCCCCCCCCGCCCCCCCCCCCCCCCACCGACATGGGCGACGACATACGGCTCCTCCGCGGAGTTGCACTCCTTGCTAACTCTTCCCATGGCCACCATGCAGCCTTTGTATACTCAGGGATGTCTAACAAGACTGCTAGCTTCTCTCCCGCCTCCACCAAGGCTATGGCTACGGGTAGCGGGGCAAGGCGACGGCGACAGCGACAGCGACAGCGACGGCGACGGCGACGGCGACGGCGACGGCGACGGGAAGCGGGATCGGCAGCAGCGGAAGCAACGGCAACTCAACTGATGGGTTCCATGTCATGTCGAAGGAAACCCATTCAGAGTGGGGAAGTACATCCACTACTTATGGTACTCCTAACCCTGATCTCACAGGACATGGTCATGCCACTGTCGGTCATGGTCATGGTCATGGGTACAGCCACGGGCACGGGCACGGGCACGGGCACGACGACGATGGAGATGGAGATGGAGATGATGATGGCATGAAGACTGCTGCAAGTACAAGTACAGGGCATCAAGGCATGCGATCATCGGCATCATCGTCATCATCGGCAGAGCCATTGGCGTTTGGCTTCAAGCCGAGGTACCTTGCTCTCCTCCTTACCCCGCCCAACCTTGTCTCGTCGTACTTTGAGCTCTCGGTTGAGCATCAACTCTTTCTCTCTCGGCCAACGCACTGTGCAGATGGCTCATCGTTGACCTCGTTTACGGTGGCGCTTGTCATGGACGCTGCCGGTGCCAAACAGGTTCCGTGGGTCCTTCCGGCCTTTCGTAGAGTACTCGATCGCACAGTCGCCGCCCTGGCACATGAGCAAGAGCGGACTCAGTTTGTGCTCAATGAGCTCGAGCTCATCGCCCGCATCAAGGCCGAAGGCGCCGACCGAGGCTGGTCGCCGCCCTTTACCACTCAGCGCCTCATTGACGTCTCAGAGCTTGCCCTCGTGCTCTCTTTGGTCTATGACCACTTTGAGCAGGTCTCGGTCGGCGTCCTCCGCGCCTCCACCTTTGGCTGGTGGCGAACGCTGCGGCAGCCGCTCAACATCCGACTCAACTCGTGGCTCGAGCTCAACCTCGCGCTCTCCCTCGATCCCAACGACGGCGCTCCGCCAGCGGTCCTCGCCCCACCCGCCGTCGCTGCCACCACCATGTCTGCCGCCTCATTGTCGCCGGCCTCGCAGCAAGCCGCGACCGCCAGCCCCTATCCGGTCGCCTCGCTCGCCGACTGCCGCCCCTGGCACGCCCTCCTCCTCCTCGACTCGGGCACCTCAATCGTTGTCCGCCTCCCTCCCGACGCCTCGCCCTCACTCCGCGCCCTCCTCCTCGCCGCCTCGCCGCTTGTCTCGTTCGAGGACCTCATGGTTGAGCTTGGCATCCCGCTCGTCACGCTTTATAAGCTCGCTCTCCATGTCCAGCACTGGGGCTGGGCCCGCATCACCGCCACCGTTTCCGAGTCGTCGCTCTTCTGCCGCAACTGGGACACCACGCTCGACCTCGGCAAGGTCGGCGCCTCATCCGAGCTCGCCTCGCTCTGCCTCCAGCTCCTTGCCCCCTTTGACGAGCCGCGCCGCGTTCGCGACGTCGAGCGCATCGACGACGTTCTATGGCTCCTCAAGTACGACCTCATCGTCCAAGTCTGCACCTACTTTTACCTCGTTGTTCCCGAAGTCGACCGTTACCCGGACCCGCTCGCCTCGCCGGCCGACCCCGATCCGCCTCCGCCACTCTCCACCAGCAGCGCCTCACCGCGCTCAGTCGCCGCCAAGAAGCGCCACGCCTCACGCGCTGCAGCAGCCCTCACCCCCGCCGAGCGCGCCTTTATCGACTCGCTCGATCCCTCACCGGCGCGCGACCTCCTCCTTCGCCTCTTCAAGTACTTTCGCGGGAGCCACTGCATCGAGGAGATCATGTGGCGCGAGAACCTCTCGCGCGCCCTCATCCTCGACGTCGCCTCACGGTTTGACGACTTTATCGTCGTCCGCACAACGCCGCACAAGTAGCTCAGTAAACCGCGGCCGTTCATTCTTTACTTCACTCGGACGCGGCCGGGGCGTGGTGCTCCGACTCGGGATTGGCCTTGACAATGACCACGCCCTCTAGCACAGGGGTGTACGCCGTGTACGCATCGTTGGCAAACTCGGCACGCTGCTGGTACTCCATGAGCACGGGCGAGTCGTTGGTCTGGAAGCCAGTGATGGTCTTGGGCTGGCCGGCGAGGCCGACGGTGTTGACGGCGTCGCCGACGCGGACCGCGGTGTAGACCTGTTCCATGTCCTCGTTGAAAGTCATGAGCATGCGCGGGCGCATGGCGAGAGCAAAGAGGAACAGCAGGTAGTGCGACTTGCCGAGGAGGGTGTCCTTGAGGTTGAGCGAGGTGAAGACAACCGAGAGAAGGCCAGCCATGGCCGCGTTGTTCATCAGCAGCCGGTCCGAGTGGTACGGGTTGAGCGTCATGGTGCCCTTGCCCATGTAGAGGAGGCCCTGCGCAATGCGGACGACAAAGAGCGAGTTGGCATCCTTGGAGTAGTACGCCGCGAGCTCGCGGAGCATGGCGGCAATGCGCGCCGAGTTGGTGCCTGCGCCGGCCATGCCGAGCGCGAGGATGGCGCCCTGCGCCACCTGCTCGTCGGCGTCGTGCGAGAGCTTGGACAGCGTGTCCACCACCGCCATCTTGGGGTTGGACGCGTACAGCAGGCCGAGCGCGAGCGGGACCGCGCGCTTGATCTCGATCTCGCCGTACTGCAGCAGGTTGTTGAACGCCCGCAGCGCCATTTCGGACCCGAGCTCCTCGCCCTGGGCGATGAGCGCGATGCCGATCGTCGCCACCGCCTGGTGGAGCGCATCCTCCTCCTCGCCGAGGTGCTCCGAGCACATGTGGAGCATCTTCTGGACCTTGAGCACGTTGCCCGACCCGCAGTACGCGCACGTCTCGATGAGGAGCATGCCGACCTTTTGCAGGTGCTCCGGGATGGCCTGCGCAAGCTCGAGCACAACCTCGGCCGCCTCCTTCTGTCCAAGGAAGACCAGGCCAACGCCGAGGCACATGTACAGCGCAAACGGCGAGTGCAGGTCGGCCTCGGGCCGCTCGAGCAGGGCCTGGAAAATCGACTCGGCAATGTCAGCGTTGCACGAGCCCACAAAGATGATCGAGAGTGCGAGCGACGCCATGCACGAGATCTCCATCGACTGGCTCGAGTCGGTGATGAGCGGCGTGAGCGCCTCGAGCGCCTCGTCCGTGTTCTGCCCGGCGTAGGAGAGCGCGAGGCCAAGAATGGCGCCCAGCCGCACAGTCTCGTCCTCCTCCGACAGCGCTTCCTCCAGCAGCGCGTACGCAATGTCAAACGTCGCCCGCACGCCACAGTTGACCAGCCCGATGGCAAGCATGCCGCCGGCCTTGATGTAGCTCTCGTTCGAGTACGTGTACTTGTCCATCTCAGTGTTGCCAGACTCCCAGTCCCACATGTGGATCATTCCGAGCGACGCCACCGCAGACATCATCCCGTGGTCCTTGTTCTTGTACACCCACTTGGAGTCCTCCACCGTCATTAGCTTGTCCGAGCCGTAGCCGGCGTTGACAAACGCGTTGACAAAGGTCGATGCCAGGTTTGCTCGCGCCGAGTCGACGGCTCCGGCGCCAGACGCCCGCGCAATCGTCTCCAGGTGCGACTTGTAGATGTCCTCCGGCGTCTTGGCCTCGACCACGTCGAGCTCGCGCGCCAGTGTCCGGAAGTGCTCCATCTGCAGCGTGTTGCCCATCAGTGCAAGCAGGTCCTCATCGTCCTCGTGGTCCGCAAGGTACACCCGCGCCGCCCCGAGCATGCAGCAGAGCTGCTTCTTGAGCCCGGCATCGGCCTCGGCGTCCACAGAGTTGTACACACCCGCAATGAGCTCGCGGTCGTTCATCAGAATCGCCACCCGCAGTGCGAGCGCCTTTTGGTCCTGCGCCATGTACACGTCGTACACCACCTTGCGCGCCGCGTTGTCGTCGGGCTCGAGCAGGTAGTTGGCCGTCTGCAGGAGGTAGTCGGCCACACGCACGTAGTTGTCCTCGTCGATAAACGGCAGCACATCCTCCAGCCGTTCGACCTCGAGGAGTAGGTCCACGCCCTCGGCCTCGGCCCGCGTCCGAAAGTAGAACGGAAGCACAAGGTCGACCAGTGCGTTGAGGTCGTCCACGCCCTCGCCTCCGCCAACACGCGCCTCATACTCCTCACCGATCTCCTTCACCAGCGTCTTGATGAACTCGTGCCCACACGACTCAACCTCAAGCTCGCCTGCCAGCTTGTACTTGAGCACCAGGCGCTCCTCCGTCACCACCGCCATCGACACAATCGCCAGCAGGTCGGCAAGCTTGCCAGCAAACTCGGAGCCGTCCTCCGCGCCAGCGTGCAGCTCCATGAGCCCAGCATGGTGCTCCCGAAGAAACTTGAGCGGCTTGGGCACAGAGGTCATCGACGACGTTGCCGACTTCACCACCTCGGTCAGCTCTGCCAGCGTCTCGAGTGTCTTGCCGTCTCCGAGTGCCACCACCAGCTCGTCGAGCTTGGCCTTGAGCTTGGCATCCTCCTCCGACTGCATTCCCCACCGCCACACCACACACACACACACACACGCATACACACACCACACAATGGTCAGTCTCAACATGCTTTTGGAGCATATGCATCCACATGGGCCGGCCACACCATAGGCTGGGCAACCTCACCGCGCCGCTCAAAAATTCGGTTCGGTCCAGCCGCGTTTTGGCGGCGACCTTCTTCCACCTGGGCGACCGACCCTGTGGGGTGGGCGGTGGTATGGGCAAGGGGGGTAGGTGTGACAAAGAGGAAAGGGGGTATACTAGGTAGGTAGAAGAGGTAGGTAAGAAGTATGCGTACAAGCTCAGGCTCTGCATCCACAAGGGAGGCTGTCGCAGTAGTCTTGCTCGTCGTCGTCTTCTTCTCCTCGTCCTTGGCCATGTTGTGCGACCTGTGTGCGAGACGGGTGACCGATGTCGTTTCGCCCGACCACTGGCGATCGGCCGGCGGGTGACCGCCACCCCCCCCCCCCCCCCTTCCCCTCCCCATCCTGCAGCCGTTCCGCACCCAAACTGGCTGATCAACATGAAATCGGAGGCGAAACGAGGTGGGACATGGTGTTGGATGCCACGGTGCGACTGATGTGAGGTTAGGCATGATGTGGGTGGCTGGCGGTCGGCTGGCGATCGGCTGGAGGCACAGCCCCTCCTCCCCTGCGTTTGCGCCACACCTACAGCCGCGCCAGCTCGCGATTGCAAGCCCAAGTGTCAGCATGGATGTCATACCGCGACTGATGTTGCACGTTGTTGCCTTGGATGCGTGATGTGGTCGAGGCAAGCGCAAGCACGCGGACAAACACACGGCATCTTCGCGCCCCACCACGCGCCACAGCGTACGGAAGAGGCCGCGACACACGCGTCTTCGACGTTGGCGTACAGGAGATGCCGGTGCGGACGGTGACCAACTACGGCGAGCTGCTGGAGCTTCTGCCAGAGGTTACGACCGAGTCTGAGGCGACTTGGCGATATGCTCGCGGATTGACTCGGACGCTGGCGAGCCATGCCAGCTTCGGTCCGTTCTATCGGGTTACTTTGGCTGATGCTGGCGAAGGATCTGGTCGTGCTGTGGTGTTCAACACGCGTATTCGGAGCGGTCGATGGGTGGCATATGTGTTTGCCTGGGGAGAGTCTGCTGCTGCTGCCATGGCGAATGCGGTCGAGGAGATGGACGAGTTTGGATGCGGCGAGGTATTTGTCGTTGCCGCCATGAGCAATGCTGCAGAACAGATGCTGCAAGCTGAGGTCGCTATGGATGCCGCCGACTCGCATCCGTGTTGGACACGTGCTAGGGCGTGCATGCCAGAGGGTCACACGCCGGCTCTGTTGCCAGACGGCTACACTGCGCGCAAGCTCGAGCCTGCAGACATCGACGCGCTCTTGCCGACTTGGAAGTACTCGGACGGCGTCTCGCACGACTGGATCAAGGCCATCATGGGCGACCTGGCCTCGGTCGGGGTCTTTGCCTCTGACGGCTCACTCGCCGGCTCGATGGTCGAGTACCCTGACGGCTCATGCGGCATGCTGCACACCGCCGAGGGTCATCGCCGGCGCGGCCTCGCGCGGTACGTGGTCGACGCCATGGCCGCGCAGCTGGCGGCAGCCGGGCGGTCCTGCATGTTTGTCACCATCGAGACGTACAATGAGGCCTCGCTTAGCTTGTTTGACTCGCTGGGCTTTTGCGACGCCGGCCGCGTCGCCTGGGTCTTCTTTGCCAATCGTTCGGCGGGCGTCATGGCTGCTCTCGCCGAAAGCGCCGAGGCCTTTGGGAGCTTTTCGGCGAGTGATCGGCTGCGGACTCTGGCTGGCCTCCAGCGGACCTTCGCCGCCGGCCTCCCGCACAACACCAAGGCTCGGCGGCTGGCATCGGCGGCGCGGGTCACCGCCCGCTGGCCGGACGTCTTCTCCGTCCTAGCCAACTGGATCAAGGCCGCATGGCTGGAGCGGGCGGCTGATGAGCTGCACCAGCTCCTCGCTTTCGTCTGGCCGTTCATCATGTCGAACAAGCCTGCGGTCAAGAGCATCCTTGCCCGCTGGGACGTTGTCGAGGTCTGCCGCGACGTGCTGGTGGATATGCCGGGCAGCGCCGTTGCCGGCTCGGCCGCCGCTGTCATCTCCAAGCTCATCAGCAATGGGCGCAACTGCCACGACCGCATGCTCGGCGAGTTGGTTGTCTCGGCTGTCATCGACGGCGTGGCGGTAGCTGACCGTGTCTGGCCACTTCGCATCCTCTACTCGATGTCGTTTGACTCGCGGCTGGTCCCGGCATTGCTGGCCCTTGATCCGCGGCCGCTCATTCAGGCCGTCATCTGCGAGGAGACAGACAGTGAGGGCATCGTTGTCCGCGCCGCCATTCTGGCTGCAAACCTGTACGGCGGGCCGGACGCCAGCGCGTTGCTGGGCGAGAAAGCCGAGTCCTGCGTGGCAGCGATGGTGGCAGCCGGCGAGGCGACACTGATCGGCGCAGCCTATCCTGCGAGCTCTGGCTCGTTCTTTGGACTGTGGAAGATCCTGGCGGGAATTGACGCGCTGGCGACCCACGAGCCCGCCGCCAAGGCGCTGGGCAGATGCGGCGCGGTCCGCCTTGTGGCTGCCGCGCTGGCGTCTGACGCGACTGCGGGCGACTCGCGGGTGCTTATTCACGGCGTGGCAGCGCTGTGGAGCCTTTCATTTGTGGCCGCCAACGGGGCGGCTATTGCTGCCGACGCTGCACTGGTGATGCGGCTGGAAGAGCTGGCTGCGGGCGGCGCGAGCCAGCCGCGGTCGGTGGTCCGGGCGGCGCGCGGCGTGGTGTGGCAGATGTCTGCAGCATCAAGCGGGCCCGCAAGAAAGAGTGCGGGAAAAAGCAGCAGCGACACGCTCCAGCACGATGTTATGATCTCGTACTCGTGGGCGAACCAGAAGGTGGCGCTCTGGTTGCGTGCGCAGCTTGCGGTGGCGGGGATCTCTGTGTGGATCGACGTGGAGGCCATGAGCGGGTCGACGCTCGAGGCCATGGCCGAAGCTATCGAGTCGTCCCGAGTGGTGGTTGTCCTGCTCTCGCAAGAGTACTCGGTTTCGCAGGCGTGCCGGGTCGAGGCCGAGTACTGCTTCCAACTCGGCAAGCCGTTTGTGCCCGTCAAGGCCACGCCGCGATTCCGTCCGCGCGGCTGGCTCGGCGCGCTCATCGGCTCGCGACTTTACTTTCATCCCACGCCCGACTCGTGGCCCGACATGCATCGTGAGCTAATGACAATTCTCGAGCGACCAAGTGAGTCAGTCGCAGTGGTGGGCGCTGCGAGCGCGAGCGCGAGCACTTGCCCGGCTGTGGCGAGCGCGTCCGAGTGGGTTGCAGCTGTTGGACTCTCCGATCCTGTTGGCTGCGCGCTTGCGCGAGCCCACATCACAACCATGGCACAGATCGATGAGCTTGCCGCGTGGCGGATGCATGCCAGCACCACGCTCTCGGCCTGGACCGAATTTGTCCGCGCCGAACTCGGGCTTGCGCTTTGCGATGCACTTTCGCTCGGTGCTGCGCTACGCGAGCGTCTTTCCTGAGCCTGCCCTGGTCGCCACCGAACGTCTTGACCAGCGACAAAGACGCGAAAAAGCGTTCAGGTCTTACGATGCGTCTGACAACCGCGAGATGAGGTGCGATGCTGTACAGCGCGCCATCCTCGACTCCACTCCTCCGTTTCGTCGCCACCCTGCACACGCCTATCAAGACGATGGAGCGTGAGATTGCGATGCAGGCCAAGGCCCAAGCTAAGGCCATCTCCGACATGATGTCACTCATCAACAGACGAGAGGAGAGAATGATGGAGATCTTGGGCATGATCATGGCTTGATGTACAGAATACACCACTTTACCACACCACCGCCCTCATCTGCATCCCCTCCCCCCCTCTCTCCCCCCCAATCCCATCCCCGATTCCATCCCCTTTCTCATCCCCATCCCCTTCCCCATCCCCTCCCGCCGATCATTCCCATTCCCATCCCTTATCCGCCCAGTATCAACCCCCATCCCCATCTCCATCCTCATCCTCCCCTTGCCCCTCCCCCGATCAGCCTCCCCCCCTCCCCTCCCTCCAACCAAAACGCCCCATCACCCAACCATCCCCCATCCACCACCACTCCACGCCCACCCCAGCCACCCCCTCCCTCCCCCCCCCCCACACACATCACCATGGTCAAGTCATACCTGCGGTACCGCCGTGAGCAAGTGCTTGGACTTGTGCATGCTTCACCGTCACCCCACTCTATTGGATACATTCCAGAGAGTAAGCAGGGAGAGAGTCGGCGGGCCGTCTCGGCAGCCTTGGAACAGATCCTGGTTTGGGACATCCGACGTGGTAGCCTCGAAGGTAGCCTCGGAGGTGGCGAGAGCAATGTGGAAGTTGAAGTCACTTCTTTGATTCTCTCATCAGATGCTTCTGCTGTCTTTGCGGGTTATGCTGATGGTTCTCTTAGAGTTTGGGATTTGGCCTCGGCTTCTGTTCTCCTTACCTTTAATGGTCACAAGTCGGCGACAACTTGCCTCGCAGAGGGTCAAGGCTCTTCTGGCTCGCTTCTCCTCGCTTCGGGTTCAAAGGATACTGACATCATTGTTTGGGATGTCGTCGGTGAGGAAGGTCTCTACCGTCTTCGCGGTCACAAGGACATGATCACCGCTGTGGCTCTTCTCTCCTCCTCTCCCCGCCTCGTTTCGGCCTCCAAGGACTCGCTCGTCAAGGTCTGGGATCTCGAGTCTCAGTCTTGCATCCAGACCCTGGTCGGACATCGTGCTCAGGTCTGGTCGCTCACCTTTTCTCCCGACGAGTCGCGTATGATCTCCGGGGCTGTCGATGCCTGCCTCCGCGTCTGGGATGCTGCGCCCATGGCCGAAGGCGGCGAGCTCGGATACATGGGCCGCATCGATCGCGCCTCGACCGACCGTGTCCTCGACCTCTCCTACGGCTACGGCGGCAAGCTCGTCCTCGCCGTCACCGCAGAGAAGATGCTTGAGATCTTCCGCGTCCGCGACCCGGTCGCTGTCGAGAAGAAGATTGCCCGCCGGCTCCGCCGCCGCCGCGAAAAGGCGACCAAGGCCGCAAAGGCCAAGGCCGCCCTCGCCGAGGCCGCCACCGTCATGATGGTCGAGGGCGCTGAGGCCGAGGCCGCCGCATCCGCCACTGAGACCGATCCGGAGCTGCGCATGCTGGACGGCCGCGACCCGGAGCTGCCCATGGGCTCGGACGAGATTGCGTCGCTGCTGACCATCCGGCTGGCCGCCAAGGTCCGCTCAGCCTCGTTTGCGCCGCCGCCGCCGTCGGCTGCCGGCGCCTCGGGCCTCCCGCCCTCATTCTCGGTCCTCGTCGCTCTCGCCAACAACTCGCTTGAGGAGTACCGCGTCGACCTGACCTTTAAGGAGCTCTCCGACGCCGCAAAGCTGGTCCCGGGCGTCCAGCCGGGCGTCGCCTCTGCCGCCTACACCCGCACCGGCCACGTCGCCCGCGCCGCGCACGCCACTGATATCCGTGCCCTCTCCCTCTCCCGCAACGACGACATGCTCGCCTCGGGCTCCGCCGATGCCATCAAGGTCTGGAACATGTCCACATTTGAGGTCATCCGCGACCTGCCAGCCACCCAGGTCCTCGCCCTCGCCTTTGTCCCGGGCGACCGCCATCTCCTCGCCGGCACCAAGGACGGCGGCCTCCTCATCTTTGACCTCCGCACCGCTGCCCTCATCGACGCCATCCAGGCTCATGAAGGCGCCGTCTGGGCCATCCGCATCCACCCCTCAGGCAACCGCCTCGTCACCGCCTCGGCAGACGCAGAGCTCAAGTGCTGGGACTTTGAGCTCGCAGGCACCGGCCTCGGCCTCGTCCACACCCGCACCCTCAAGATGACCGACGACGTTCTCGGCGTCGTCTACTCGGGCGATGGCAAGACCCTCGCCGTTGCCCTCCTCGACGCTACCGTCAAGCTCTTCTTTGAGGACTCGCTCAAGTTCATGCTCTCGCTCTACGGCCACAAGCTGCCCGTTCTCTCGCTCGACTTTTCGTCCGACGGCGAGCTCATCGCCACAGGCTCGGCCGACAAAAACATCAAGCTCTGGGGCGCGGCCTTTGGCGACTGCCACAAGTCCATCTTTGCCCACGACGACTCGGTCATGCAGGTCGCCTTTGTCCGCCGTACCCACTACCTCTTCTCCGTCGGCAAGGACGGCCTCATCAAGTACTGGGACGCCGACACCTACGACTGCATCCAGATCCTCCGCGGCCACCACGCCGAGGTCTGGACCCTCGCCCTCTCGCGCCTCGGCGACGTCCTTGTCACAGGCTCGCACGACAAGTCGCTCCGCGTCTGGCGCCGCACAGAGGAGCAGCTCTTCCTCGAGGAGGAGCGCGAGGCCGAGGCCGAGCTCGAGCTCGCCTCGGACCTCGCCAAGGATGCCCATCGTGAGGCAAAGGCCACCGAGGACTCCTCTGCCGCCTACGCCGGAAAGGCCACCCTTGCATCCGTCAAGGACGGTGAGCGCCTGCTCGAGGCCGTCGACCTCGCCGTCGCAGAGTCGTACAAGTTTGTCAACCCGGATAAGCCGACCGAGCAGCCGTCGCCGCTCCTCCTTGGCCTCACCCCATCCGCCTACCTCCTCCGCGCCCTCGCCTCCATCCCGCACGCCCACCTCGAGGAGGCGCTCATGGTCATGCCCTTCTCTGCCGTCATGCACGTCCTCCACTTTCTTGAGGCCTGGATCGTCCAGGGCTCCCGCCTCGAGCTCTGCTGCCGCACTCTCAACTTTCTGCTTGTCACCCATCGCAACCAGATCGCTGCCAACTCATCGCTCCTCCTCCTTGTCCGCAAGCTCAAGTCGCTTGTTGACGAGCGCCTCCGCGCTCTCCGCGACACCGTTGGCTTCAACCTCGCCGCCATCTCGGTTCTCCAGGCAAAGCTCGCAGACGCCAAGACCGTCTCCTTTGCCAAGGTCGACACCGCCGCCATGGACGACAACTAGCCGGGCCCACATCAAACGCAGATCAACTGGCGGCGTAGCACACACACACACACTCTCTCACACACACACGCACAAACGCACCCCATCGCCCAGCTCAGCCTCCTGGAGCTGCACAACATCGCGCTCGTGCGACGAAAACGCTCAACCCGCCGTCACTAGCCTCAGGCTCATTCTACGCCGCCCTGTGTCGCGGCGTGGCTTTGACCTCCTTGACCTCGCTCAACATCAGCACCGCCTTTGGCTACCAGCCACTTGTCCCACAATCGGGCGATCCTTCCGCGTAGCGAGGTGCCCTAGCTTGGCAACTCGGTTGTCAGCAGCGCCGTAAAAAAACGCAGAACAACGCCGGGCAAGTTGCCCTCGCTCGCTTCCCCGAGTCTGCCAAGCGGTGGCGATGACGAGCGAACCGGGTGGAGGCCAAGAGGATACGGCACACGACTTGGGAAAGAGCATGGAGTGCCCTACGTGCGGCAAGTACATTCCCAGCTCGTCACAGGTTCTCCATTCTGTTCATTGCGCCAGGAGAGCCTTTGGTTTGGTGCCCGGCGAGTCGGGGACGAGCGAGCAAGTCGCGGCTGCGAGTTCGGCGGCGTCGGGAGCGTCGGCGGGAGGAAGCGGAGGCAGCAGCGAATTACGACCTTTTTCGGACGGATCTTTTTCAGCAAGAACCACGACAGGATCAAGCCGCTGTGATTGGTGTGGACGGACGGAGAGCTTGGGACATGGACCGCAGTGTGCGCTCGCTCTGAGAGAGTGTGTCTATTGCAGTCTCCCTCTGAGGCTCGACGCGCTTGTTGCCCATGAGCCAGTATGCGGCGCGCGGACGGATGTCTGTCTGGCCTGTGGCAACTACGTCCGCCTGTTTGAGTGGGATGCCCATCAGCGGGAGCATGCTGCCGAATCTGGCGAGAATGACGAGCATGATGGTGCTGGCGAGGCTCTGGCTGAGGTTGAGGCTGAGGCTGCCGCGCCGATAGCTCTACACGCGGGTGACGAGGCCGAGCTGCGGCTCGCTGTTGTGGACACAGTGCTTGATGCAGTCGGCATCGACCTCAACCAGGTATCGGACGAGTGCCGGACGGTGCTGAGCGGACTGAGCAGCGGCGGAAAGGCCGAGGTAGCGGCGGCCAAAGCTTTTGTCGTCGACAGCCTCTCTGTCCGCATCCGAGTCAACCCGTTTGCCGGCTTTGCCGACACTGGTACTTTTGCGGTCCAGCTTGCGATGTGGATTCGGTACTCAACGCAGGCTGCACTGACTCGTGGAGCGCGATCGCTACTTGCAATGCTGTTGGACTCGCTGCCGGCGCGCAGTGAGGTGAGCCACATCAATGCGCCTGGCCTGGTCTCGTTCCCGTCGACGATTGTGCACGTGCTCCTCGACGTCGTCCTCCCGCTCCTGCTCGACCGCACCTTTGAGCTCGCTGGTGCGCCGGCGCGGTTTCGGCAGGCTTCATTCATGGCGCCTGCGGCCGAGCCGGAGATCGAACCGGCCGACGCCGCCGCGGCAACCGCACGCAAGATCGCGGCTGCCGTTGCAGCCGCTCATCGCCCGCAGTGGCTAGCGCGGCTGGCTCTTGTCTCGCTGCAGAACCAAGTGCTTGTGCTGGAGCATGCACGCGACAGCAGTAGCCCAGCGTTGGATCCGGTGGTGGCAAGCCTGGTTACTGGTCACAAGGCTGCGATTGAGAGCGCGGTTGAGGACTTGGAACTTGTAGCGCGGAGTCTAGTCCCGCTCCTTGGTCCGCACCATGTTCCAGGCTCGCGGCTTTGTGTGGCGTCGCTGGTAGCATCCCTTGGATATGCTTGCGCGATGCCGAGCCTTCCGCTGGGCGTGGCGCTCTCTGAAGTCCTCGCACACGTGCTGGCGGCGTATCCGTCGTTTGCGGCGCAGTACATGTCGCAGTGGCTGGAAGCGTTGGCGGAGCATAACGATGTGTGCCAGAGCCTGCAGGGCTCGCTCTCGCTGAGCTCGCTGACGGGTGCGTACCAGGTCCAGCGGGTGCTGAGCAGCGTGCGGCTGGCGGCGCGGATGGTGTGGCTCAACCCGCACATGCTGCGGACGCGGGCGCATCTGATGCACATGGTGCGGACGGCCGAGGCGGCGGTGGCAGCACTGGCGATGGCAGCTGAGCGCGAGCCAGCGCTGGGGCTTTGGCGCGATGAGGCAGTGGGCGCGTTTGACGGCCTCATGCGTGGTGTGCCGCTCTTTCTCTACGCCAAGGACGTGCCATACTTGTCGGGATGCGGCGAGATGGCGGCGATTTTGGAGCTGTCGTCGCCGGCGGCGCAGGCTGTTGTGGCAAAACGCATCCTCACTGTGGTGGGTGCTACAAGCGACGACGGCCCGCGGTACGGCTCGCTCCACACTTCGCTGGTTGTCCTGCACCTCATGGTGCGATTGATGGGCCTCGACGACCATCCGCCCGAGCTGGAGAGCAAGTACCTCGAGTTTGCACTGTGGGCGACGGGACTGGTGTGCACCCAGCTCCACGAGGCGCCGCCGGTGTGGATGAGTGCTGCGTCGCCGCTCATCCACTCGGTTCTCGGCAGCATCTTTGTTCATCCTGCCTTTACTTTGCGGCTCTCGGGCGCCGAGGCGAGCTTCATGGCCGAGGTCCTCGGCGGGCAGCCGCCGCCGCTCGCCGCGCTCGCCGATGCGCTCCCCGCCACTGAGCTGCCGGCCGGCAACGATGGATAGTGCGCGGGGAGGGGGGGTCATGCGTTGAGGGCGGCGAAAAAGTCGTCCTCGGTCATGTCGCTGGAAGCCAGAGCCGGAGCCGGGGCCGGAGCCGAGGCGGCGGCAGAGGCAAAGGCTGAAAACTGTACCGCAGCGGGCGAGGCCGATGACAGCGGCGGCACGGTGGCGGTTGTCGGGCTCGGAGTCGGGCCTCCAAAGAGGTCCAAGAGCGAGCTGGGCATGGCCGGCTGGCTTGGAGCAGCTGGTTGGCGAGCGGGCGGAGCGGTCGAGTGCGGCTCTGCGGCGCGGTCCTGAGCGACATCGGCGAGCGAGAGAGCAGCCAGATCCAGAAGCGTACCGGTGGAAGAAGAACTCCTCAGCGAGCCCTTTGAGTTTGAGTGCTTGAGCCTCAACGAGCCCGAGGGCGAGGAGTTAGCCGATGGAGGCTTGACAGCCAGGGGAGCCGGGGTAGACGAGGTGAAGCCCGGCGCATCTCTGGCAGTCGCTGTGATAGCCTTTGCCGCCGCCAGAGCCTTTTCCCCCGACAAAGAAGAAGATCGCCTTGGCCTTTGAAGACGACGTTTGAGCGCGAGGCCACGGACAGGAACAGCAGCTTGCATGTCAAGAAACGCTGTTGGTACCAGACCTTCCTTGCCCGACTCCAACAACCGACACAGACTCCAACCTCTTCCCACATTCCGATCCACTACCACCACACATGCTCCTGCTGACACGCTCATCTCGCCTACGTTCTCCTCTTGGAACTCCTCCAGCACAGGCACCTACTTCCACACCACGGGGAGGGTGGGGGGTGAGGGGGTGTGGGTGGGGTGGGGTGGGGGGAGGGGGGGGGGGGGGCGGGGGTATGACAGGAGGGGGGGAGGGAGGGAGAGGACGTACCTCGACAAGGCGGGAGGCGTCTGCCATAGTGGTGAAGGGGTAGGAGGGTGGAGTGGAGTGGAGTGGTAGTGGTCGTGGTCGTGGTCGTGGTGTGTTGTGTGCCCGGTGTGGTGTGTCGCTTTTCGGCGGAACGAATACAGGGACAACGTGCGGTGCGGGGCGGTGCGGTGCGGTGCTGTGCGTTGGACGGGCGAAATGGGTTTGGTGGTTGTGGTGGCGGTGAGGTGGCGGAGGGAGTGCGAGGCGATCGATGAATGGGTGTGGTGGCGGTGCAATGGCGGTGAGGTGACGGAGAGAGTGCGAGGGCTGATAAGTCGATGGGCCGAAGAGCAGGCCAGTGAGTCACAGCGCAGGCTCGGGCGAGGGCGAGATGATAGGGGCCACATCGGAGGAGAGGACCGACATGGCGAGCTCATAGGCGGCAAACGTAGCGGCGTTGACGGGAAAGGCGCGGATGAGGGTGGTGCCGAGGCCGCGGTAGAAGGCCTTGAATCCGCCGCGTCGGTAGAGGGTGGCAGCGACCGAGGCGATGCGCGAGTCGGCGGTACCTGGCGGGAGGTGGCCCATGGCCTGGACCCGCGACTTGATGATGTCGACCGGGTACGAGATGGTCCAGCCGACGCAGCCGGCGACGCCACCGGCCGTCAGTTGGCCTAGCGCGCCCACCTCAGCCGACGACGGCGTCCCGGTCAGGGCTGCCCACCGCGCTTGCTTCCCTCGTACGAGGCAAAGTACACACCGTAGAACGCCATCTCGCGGAGCGCAGTCACCGTCCACCCGTGGGTGATGCCCAACGGACGGGCACCCGAGTCGACCACAAGCTTGAACGTCGAGTAGTACGAGCCCGTTCCGCGGTTCACCTGCATCACCGTTTTGATCAGCTCGGTAGGCGAGGTGACCAACGAGACCGGGAGCGCCGTCCCGGCCCCAGACAGCCACAGCATGCCAAGCGGCGTGGTCGACTCGTCGTCTTTGAGCCCGAGCAGGACTTTGATGTACTCGTTCGACGCAAAGGCCACAGAGTTCTCCATCATCGCTCCGGCGAGCGGCGCGTAAACGCCGCGGAAGAGGCCCACCACGCCCTCTTCGGCCACAATCTGCCGGAGCAGCGAGACAATACCCGGCCGCACCCCAGCCCCGGCTTCCTCACTCGCCGTCTGCATCAGCACTCGGATCGTGTCGAGCGGAAAGCCGACAAAGTTGGCAGTAGCTGTTCTCCCCTCCGTTCATTCCACGGTCAATTGAACGTGCGACAGTGAGTAGTTGACCGACGCTCCACACCGCTCGCATCTACTGTCGGACGAACATGATCTTGGTATGTACACGTAGCGCATGCTTTGTGCAATGTAACCATGTCTCGGAAATCATTGCCGCATGGCTTCAGCACGTTGCAGGGGCGCTGCAAAGCCAGAAGGAGAGCGTGGCCAAAAAGGTGTTCATTCCCGCCAAAATTGGCACGCCGCCCGCTCTGCCCGCACCTGCCAGAGGAGGATGGTCAAGGGGAGGGGGGGGGGAGGGGGGCATGAGGTGTCACGACTTGAACGTACCGCCAGAAAACGAGCCAGCAACAAAGGACTTCCAATCTGGGAGGAAGCTGACCTGGTCACATCCCTCTTCTCCGCTCGGTGGCGTGGCCATGGCTCCGCTCAGAGCGCCGAGTTGAGTGCGACGAGGGATGTCGTCGGCGGGCCGGCCAAACGCCAGCCAAGTTGGACCATGAGCCTGCCACCTCTGCCAGCCTTTTCTTTTGTCAACCTATCTTTTTTTGCCACGGGCGTGAGCTGGAGTGGGCGCGACAGAAGTCGCCGTCGTGAACACGGTGGCGGCGGGGGCGGGAGAAGGGGGGGGGGGGTGATGCCGAAAGGTTTTCGTTATTCTCAGCATGTCGATGTGGGGGAAGTGAAGGATGGAGAGACACTCCTCCCCCGCACCGAGAGGAGAAAGTGCAACTGGGGTCCGGCCGAAGTTAACTAGCAGTCCGACCCCCCCCCTA